AGTTTGAGGAATTTGTTTGTACGGAGAGCAGCGACCGCGTGACAGACCGCAGCCCTCTGTTTGGACTCGACTGTGAAATGGTGAATGTTACTGTTTAGTTTAGAGCAATCACATTTTCAGCGGCGGGTCATGTACTCAGTTGTTGTGCTGTGTGTTCCAGTGTGTGACGATAAAGGGAAACGAGCTGACTCGTGTTTCTGTGGTGGACGCTGATGGAACATGTGTGTTGGACGAACTGGTGAAACCTGCGAACCGCATCATCAACTACTGCACCAGGTAGAGTTACTGGTAAAATGAAGGTGAAAAAACTGGAGTAGTTTGAAGGTCTTCAAACACGGCGGCCGTCTCATGTGGTCACAGATACTCCGGCATCACGGCAGCGATGCTGCGACCCGTCACGACGACCCTGCGCAACGTTCAGCACAAACTCAAGGCCTTGTTGCCACGTGACGCCGTTCTAGTCGGGCACTCGCTGAACTCTGACCTCGTGGCACTGAAGGTGAGTGACGTGAAACGCCCTCCTCCTTCTTCAGGTGGTGGGTTTGACATGCGGTTCATTTTGTCTGCAGCTCATCCACAGACACGTCATCGACACCTCTCTGTTGTACAGACGGGAGTTTGGACAGAGGTTTAAACTTAAGGTCCTGGCCCAGGTAGTTCTGAAGTAAGTCACCCCCCCCGCCCCCCACAGTTCATATTCACCCTGGGGTGAGACGCCCGGGTGAGACGCCTGGGGTAATTCTATGTTGTATTTGTTTTTAAGAAAACACATTCAAACCAAGAAAATGTTGGGACACGACTCCATTGAAGACGCTGCAGCAGCGCTGGAAGTGGCTCAGTACTTTATTAACACAGGACCTCGTCAGGTAACACACACACGTGCGCACACACACACACATACATACATACATTCAGTGTTATGAGCAGCTGTGTCCTTGTTAGGTTGTTGAGCGACACCTGGAGCAGCTGTGGGGGGAGGAGATCACCGACACCCCCACACGGCAACCTCAGAGTCTCAGGTACAACGCCGACTTTTACACAGTGAGTGTAAATGGCCGACATTAAAGACCGACTCAGTCTGTCCATTGTTCATGTTCCTTCTCAGTCAAACTCTTTTTCTGCGACAACAACGTTTGTCATTTTCTGTTTCTTCTTCAGATTTGCAGACGTTTTACAGACACGTCAACAGTCGGTGGCGTATTTTGGGAAGCGTTGTGAGGTGGCCCTGGAGCTGTCCAATCAGCAGTGGCACAACTCTGACAAAGAGGTGAGGAGTTTACTTCCTCTCTGCTCCAACTCTCTCCATGTGAAGTCGATTTTAAGGTTGTTTTGACTGTACGAATGAAAGGGTTCCTTTTCTGCCGTGTTCGTCGCCTCACTCTCGCCCTCAGGTGTTGGCGTCGTTCAGGAAAACAACCCACAATCCATTTCTGTCCGTGCTGCGGTTCTCTTCCTTTTCAGACCATATTCAACAATGTGACGCTCCTCAGGAGCAGCTCCACCACAGGGTGAGTCATGGTACTGTTACCATTTGTTCTGGTGCTGTAGACTAACTTGAATCTAACTTCACTTGATACTGGGCCTGCAGATGTGTGCAGACCTGGGGCAGATGTGTGTGGTGTTTGCCGGGCCATTCCCTGAAGGTTTCTCCGAGACAGAAGTGAAACGACTTTTTCTCAGCTGCGGACCAGTTCGAAAAATAAAGATGCTGAAGAGAACAGTCAGGGTGAGTCTCCGCCTTAACGACTCTGATTGGTTAATTAACAGACATCTTAACTCATCACTGTGTGTGGTCCACAGCTCCATGCACAGGTAGAGTTCCAGCTCTTGGAGGGAGCAGTGCTGGCCTTGAAGACATTGGATGGACTGATTTTGCACGGACAAGTCCTTAAAGTGAGTCCTTCATCTTCTCTCCTTCACCGTTTCTTTTCCAACCTTCACTAAAGCCCTGGTCCATGTCTGAAGGTCCAGAGGCCAGTGAACAGCTCAGTGCTGGACCTGGACCTCACTCTTGATGCTTTGATGGATGACGCACTCAGCAGCCGCTCCATCTACGCTGTCAGATCAAAGCACAGAGTAGCCGTGGGCGGGAACGCCTCGGCAAAGGTCAATGGTCACACGCCAGGTGTTGGGGTTCCTGGTGCACTTTCTAAGAAAACAACAAACGGGCTTCCTCCATCTGGAGGAAACGTCACGACCGTGCGCCTGTCCAAAGAGGAAGCCATCAGAGAAACCTTTGGTCAACTAGGGGCCGTAGAGAGAATCTCACTTCTGGCCAAACCGTCAACACACGCCTGGATCAGTGAGTGAGACGGGATTTCTCCACATCTGTTTCTGCAAACATCTGTGATCAACCTGATGTTTGGTTTGGGTCCGTTTTAGAATTCAAGAGTTGCGACGATAAACCAACAGCCCTCGCTGAAGACCACAGGATAGGCCACTACAACATCTGTCCATGTCTGACTCCGCCTCACTTACGTTCATGGACCGCCTCAGCAGAGACGACGGCGGCCGCTGAAGAGCACGACAGTGAGAACAACATCAATCATCAGGTTAATCAATCTTTTAGTGGGATTTCCCCCGAGCCAGCTTCTCAACATTCACTCACAGTGAGACCAACAGTGTGCTGTTATCTGCAGGGTCAGGAAATGGAGCTCATGATGAGAAAGTTGGACCGCTACCTGGGGAAGCTCTTCAGATCTGTCCCAGACTGCACCCTGCTGGTGGTTCTGTTCCCTGGATATAACGGGTAAAGCCTCTGTGACGCAGAAAAAGCTGAACCAAGTTTAACATTTCTCAACTCTCCGTTCTCTGTCCCAGTTGTCAGGAGCAGCTTCCTGGCCTGTGCTTCTTGGAGGTGAAGTCAGGGTCTGGAGAAGAACAGTGATACGACAGCAGCTCATCATGTCCACTGACGCTGCAGTCTTCCAGGATTATCACGGTTGAACGTCATCAGCAGCTGCCGCTCACGTGTTTGGAATAAACTTTTTCAGTCAACATATTTTTACTTTGTCTTTTCCTAAAACTCAGTCCTCGTCTCCGTGGTATCGAAATACCTCCAAACATACAGTGGAGCCCCGAGATCCAGGATCTCTGGAAACATCCAGTTACCAGTCAGCAACTGTTGAGAGATTTTCTTCATGATACCAGATCAACACAGCTCCATTTTTTTTTACCCATTTTTCTAACAATAATAAAATGTCTTCTTTATTTTATATTATCAATATCTACGTTTGTTTAGATGGGGGTTAATTCAAGAAAGAAAGTCAATTTTACTAAGAAACATTCTTTAATTTTTTCCTCCTTTCCAAGGAAACGAAGGACTTTTAAATGGACAAAAGTGTAGACGAGTCTTCCGTTTACACCTTTGGATTAGAACATACAAAGAACATTATTGTAGTTGACAGTTACAAAACATTTGACACAAAAATATAAGGAAAAATAATCTGTACAAAAAGCACAAGCACCTCATGAATTGTCACCAATAATAAATATGACATTATCATTGATAAGCTCACATCTGATAAAAGTGGAGGAGATGAAAGGACCTTTGTTCCTTTAAAAATGACTCCATTAAAATACTAAACAACCCTGACATAGTAAACTACAGGACCTGTCCAATGGCATTTATATGTCACAACTAATGGGAGGGGTCGAGGGGGGGGCGGGGGGGGGCATTAAAGACAAGAGAATGTTCATCTCTCTCTCTCACTCACACACACACACACACCACTCAGCAGGAGTAGCGTCATTAAAACTAGTCAGCGAAGGTGAAAGTGTGTGGTAGAAGTTTGACGACACCAGAGCAGGTGATTTCTGACGTTGGTTTGTGCTCAGAAGAGTTTCCCGCTCCTCAGGTGTGCGATCAAAATATGGCAGCTGTCATTATGGCTTATGTTTTCTCTGACAAATGGTCCAGTAAAAAAACAGCTCAGCTGCTGGTGTCTGAGACTTGGAGCGAGTGGGTGGACTGTGGAGGAGAGTGCAGGAAGTGCTTACGAGGAAACCGTGGGTTGTGGCTCGGCGTGGGAGACGGGTTTCTCCACCTCCGTCCTCCGCTCTGGCTACCAGACTTCTGGGACTTCGAACAGCGATGGTGGAGATTCAGTGGCTGCGGACAGGAATGTTGAGACGGCGTGAGACTGTTGGCTAGTGGACGTACTGCTGCTTCACAGCTAGGCCAAACCAAAGGTGCTCATGGGAAACACACCAACATAAAGGCAGAATAATGGACTTCTCTTCAGCACTTTACTGCTGAAAGGGTTTTTGTTTTGTTTTTTTAAATAAAAACCCTCTCACCTTCAGACTTCTTTTTCTTGCCCTTTTGACCTCTATTTCGACTGGCAGAAGCTTGTTGCCATGTGACCGTCCCCTCAGCGTTGTCGGCTGGATCGGAGCCCTCTGGACTTGACTCCCCCTCCTCATCAGGTACTGGACTTAAACCTGATGAATGTGACGCATCTCTGCAGGTGAAATCAAGCATTAGAAAAACAGCTCAGATGAGCAGCAGCAGCAGCAGCAGCAGCAGCGTTGATCACTGATCAGATCCCTTTCACTTACGTGGTCTTCAGCCACGCCTCCGATGTCTTGCTCTGGACCGCCTCTAAATGTGCTCGTCGACTTGCGTCTAACACATTGTTAGAAACAGAGACCATAATTAATACAGAACTGTGAACAACGACAAGTTAAGTCAAGTGTTTGAATCTACAACGACATGTTAGAAACTGAAGTAACTGTCAAGAAATATTAAAACAAAAACAAAAAAAAACTGAATGAAGCAGCAGTCGGTTCCTGAAACACCGAGTAAGACCATCCATGTGGACATAAATGAAACTACATAAATGAAACTACAGCACCATCAGTTTTCATCTTCTTGCTGCCGGTGCTTTCTGGATAAGAGTACTGGTTCCAACCATCTGCAGACACCAGTTCTCCACTGCCCTGCTCACCGTGGACAGGACTGATGCTGCGTTTTCTTAAAGCCCTGAAAAAATAAAACAAAGCCAAAACGGTTAGACACCTTCAGCTAACTCGCAGAAAGAAAAAAACATCCCAGATTGTACCTTGAATAAGCAAAAGTGGAGGCAGAGGAGGTGAAGTGGGGCTTCACCCAGCCATCTTCTCCCCAGCTCTTGTTGGTTTGTCCCAGTTTCTTCTCCTCCTGCTGCTGCTTGTTCTGGACGTAGTCTGCATAAGTCTGGATCCTGTAACTCTCTGCGTAGCGACTGGTGTTCATGGCTGCGGTGGGAGAGAGTTAGTTAGAAGACGTGGGAGGAAAAGGTCCAGTCTGGTGCGGTCAAACTCACCGATCTGGACCTGGTCCGTCTGACTCAGGGAGACGAAGGCCGACGTGTCGTCTATCCATGAAACCTGGATACTTCCTGAGGAGAATGAAAGAAGGGGAGAGTGGGTGAGACACGGTGGTGACACGTAGACTCAACACTGGCTCACACTCTCACCAAAGGCACTGAACAGCTGGTAGAGGTCGCTGGTTTTCCATTCTTTTGGAAAGCTGACATGTAAGACGTGGTCTCGTTTGGGTTGCACTGTAAGGGCAGAACATGGGGTGTTAGGGCAGAAGACGGGTAAAGTGTGATGTCATCGTCGTAAGCCTGCAGCCGTGTAGAGTAGAAGTTCACATCATTTTTACTCACAATCTGGTCCTGTGACGTTGAGGTAGGGAATATCTATTATCCTCATGAGGAAAAGCCTCGACAGAAGAAGGAGACGGCATTCACAAAAATGAAACAGAAAAAACATGAACACCAAAAATAAAGTGGAGGAAATCTCTTACTTGTTGAAGAAAGGCTCAATGAGTTTGGATCGAGGCGAGATGTAAGATTTGGGAGGAGTCAAAAAAGAACCTGCAACAAAGAAAGTAAAATGATTCCAAATCCTGGTGGATCAATAAAGTACAGTGTTCTCTACACACCCAGATAATTGGCCATGGAGACGAAGCAGAGGCCAGTGATGTAGGCATCGTAGCCAGCCTCGTGGAGCTGCTCCTGGGCCGTGTTGTAACTGGGGAACCCCTGTGCCGTATCTGGAGGAGCATTAAAAAGAAACGGCGTCAACTCCACAAATCTGTCCACTGCAGGACACACCAGACGTGGGCGTCTCCTCTCACCGACTTGTGGAGCCTTGAACGGAGTCTCTTTCAACTGTTTCTCCAGCTCTGCCAGAGATGTGTTTGTGATCAGCTCCTGAAACAACAACAACAACAACAACAACAACACAACAACACTGATGAAGTCGACACTGGAACTGCAGTCACACCACAGTTGAACGCTGACCGACAGATAAAGGGCCAGTGAAAGTGTTTACCTTGAACGGTTGAGTAGAAGCCATCAACTTTGTGTCCAGAAGTCTTCAAATAAAAAATAAAACATAGCTTTGAAAAATGGAGCAATAAGAACCTCAAAGTCAACGTCTCTGCAGCAGGACTTTACCGTGGGAAAACACACATGGTGACTTCTTTGAAGTCTTGGAGATCCTGAAGAAAACAGAGACACGTTAGATCAAAGGAGCGAGCACGGGCTGGGAACGCTGGGAACGCCGGGAACGTACATCTGGAAGAGGACAGTAGAACTGGTGGATGGTGTGCATCACGTCCAGAAGCATGTTGTGTCCGACCACCAGTTTACCCTGTGGGTCACATGACCACAGTCAGGGAGGTCTGAAGTGTAAACAGCACACAATAAAAGAAGAAAAACGCAGAGCAGGAAGTGACTGACCGATTTAGAGATGGCGTGAACCACCCTGGAGAATCCCACGGCGTCGTTTAATTCTTCCTGTCAGGAGAAGAAGAACGTTTTCACACATGTCAAAATGTTCAACTCCTAACATCTGAGGTGAAGAGCTCACCTGCTCCCTCTCCTGTTTGTGCTGCTCCATCTTCCTTTTCTCCTCCTCATCCACTCTGCAGACCTGGATGTAGCGCTCCTTCTGTAAAACAACACCTTCACCCAGTCACACCTCTGCACCAGTGAACACTAAAAACCAAGCAGTAGGACAGGAGATGAACTGCGACCTTCTCTGTTTCGATGGTTTCCAGGTGAAGTCCTTTGGGAAATCTGTGATTGAGAAGAATAAAAACAGATGTTGCTCCACCTTAAACAACAGTGTAAAGGTGGAGAAGAGCCAGGAGAGGGCGACACTCACTTCCAGTTCAGGGTCTGGTATATCAGCTTCCTCTGAAACCTGAACACAGCACAAAGACATTTATACACAAAGAACACAAACGGTGAACCAAGAAGAGTTGATGAGAAAAGCCATCACAGGACCCTGTGCACGGTTCCAGGTCCAGAGTCTTGTCGGGTTTTGTGAAGAGCGCCTCCACTCTGTCTCTGAGGAACACAAAGTTCACCATCTGCAGTCAGTATCTGAGAGCCATCCAGGCCGACTCACCCATCGCTGCTGGGACTTACACCACCCTGCTGATGAACTCCTTATGTTCTTCAGGTACGTGTGCCGGGCCTTTGGAGGAGGACGGAGAGATGTAGGACGGTGTCCCTACACCGTTGGCGTGTTGGTTCCTCCTCTCCTCCGTCTGCTCCCTCAGGTGAGCCTCCTCCTCTTGGTTCAAGTACGGGATTCCTGTGTTTAAAAAAAAAACCACTTCACAAACCGGTGTACAACCTTCTCTACACACAGGAAGTCATCAGGCTGCAAACAGACGGCAGGTTGACCGCCTGCTTCTACAGTGGCGTCAGTCACGTCAACGGCGCCACATTAGAAACTATTCACGATCAAAATGGAATTGAGATGCAGATCTGTTAAAGTTGAATATTGCTGAAGAGTGCCCCCCCCCCCAACATTTGGATAAGATGTGGGAGTCAGGAGTCATCAGGTCAACTCACCATGACAGAAGACCTTGTTGAAGTCAAAGCCCTGACTGGCCAGAAAGTCAATACTGGAACTCTGAAAATACAAACGTCTTCATATAAACTGTCAAATATAGGAGGCGAAGAGCAACCGCCTGGACGTGACACGGACGGACCTGACAGATGAACTTGATGTCTGGAGATGTTCTGTTGAAGGGTTTTGGGAATACATAAAAATTAAAAGGTTTTATGATGTACCTGAAGGAAAAGGAGAGAAAGAAAAGAAATATTATATAAAAGTGGATCAACTGTGATGAAAGTAAATCATATTTAATTCATCTGCACGCGTGTGTGTGCGCGTGTGTCTGTGTGTCAGTATCTGTGTGTCAGAGCCTGTGGCCGAGGAGACGCTTACTTTGAATTGGTCTGGTCATATGTGAATGTACACAATCCAAACTGGAACAACAGAAAGTCCATGGAATGCTGGTGAGAAACAACACAACAACACAGACGTTGAGAGACCAAAACAGGGTGAGGACAGTGAGGACACTGGAGACACTGGAGTCTGTGGAACATTCCACTCCTGCAGCCTTAGACTATAATCACAGTAGTATTCCACAGTTCTTCTGTAGACCATCAGAACGTCAACATGACCTCCTGGTGTCAGTGCGGTCTACACAGGAGCAGGCAGCCAATACCACTGAAGACTCACTTCAGTTGTGTTCAAAAGTCTCTTCATTTTCTTTCACCCTGAATTTTCCTCTCAACTGAACTGGAACTTCTGGACATCATTTTCTATTAAAGGACACATTTTCTCTGTCAGAGGAAACAGTTTTCCTTCTACTGTACGTGCTTCCATTTCTAGCTCCTAGATAACCCACGTCCAGGACTTGTTTCATTTGTTACCATGTCAAACCAGGACGTTGGTAAATATTGGTGTATATTTGTATGTCTTTAACATAATAGTTGTGTTGCTCTAGGGTTCTACTTCAATAAAACATAAAACAACACTTTTTAACCCTTTACTGTACAGTTCCCTTTGACCAATCAATGATTAGCTGCAGGGAAACCCAACAGTCCCGCTGGAGCCCGTGAACTCAGCCGACCTTTTTCAGCTTCGTGTATCGCTCCTCTGGTGTGTCCAGGCCGTTGGTTAGTGCACTGACGTTTGGGCCATCACTTATCCCTAGAAATGACAGAAAATAAAACAGGTTCATGCTGGTATGAGGCTCTAATGTCACTTCTGCTGCTGCTGTTGTTGTTGTTGTTTCAGGAAACTGAAAATTTAACCTTTACCTGAAAATTCACCGTCGATGGCAAGAAAGTCAGCCTCCTCAATGGCGCTGTATACGGTGTTTAGACAGCTTTTATAATCTGGAAATAAAGGTGAAAATGTACAGAAGGTGTCAGCCTGTGTTAGCATCACAGGGGAACACGAGTCCAGAGCCGTTACTCTGGACCGCACCGCCGCTACATGGCTAATTAGCATGAGGGCTAACTGGTAGAAGCGATGTATGCGTTAAACTCTTTGCCCGCAAAACCAATTATCTGTGTGGCCTTACACACACACACACACACACAAACACTGTTGTTACAAACAACAGCATGTGAGGCAACGGAACGGACTACTTACTTTTCCGTGTCACCTCCATCCCTGCACAATGACTGAACCCGGCTGACAGCTAACGCTATTTAATAACGCCTCCGTCAATTGCCGTCAATGGTCCCGGAAACACTTCCGGGTCACGGCTGCATCCAAGATGAGTAACCGGTGTGTATTTAGATACAGGCAAACATGAGCATATGATGAAAGCCAAAAGAATAAATGAATAAATAATAATAATAATAATAATAATAATAATAATAATAATAATAATAATAATAAATCCATTAAAGAAAAAAAATCGAAAATGTTTAAATAAATCAATAAAATACATATTTATTTTACAATGAAATAAAAGACAAAATATGTATTTCAAACATATAAAGCCGTTGTTGATTTAGATGATTTTGATTTTTGTTGAGTGGCTCTTTGGCTCAGAGGCAGTGTCTCTGTCATTGATGTGGAACCCCAGGGTTCTCCTTCTGGGCCAATGAATCCCAGTTAGGGCGGTTGGTACCTTCCAGTGGACTCACCCCCCGCAGGAAGGTTCACGGGGGACTGGTATGGTGCAGTGTGATTTGGGTGGCGGTCATGGAGACTGCTGCGCCCGCGACCCGGTGACGGATAAGAGGATGAAAATGGATGGATGGATGGATGAACTAATAATTCTTTGCACCCCCCGCCCCCGCCCCTCCCCCAAATGTCTGCTTCTAGTTGTGTCTTCTTATGTTTTAACCAAGAAACAAGACTGTGAATTATTTTTAACAGCAAAATACACAGTAATAAAAGTGAAGCTTCTCTGATCAACATCTGGTTCTGTTTGTTTCTGTTGTTGAATCTCAGTCAGAGTTCATACAGTCACTTTAAACCATCCGAAGCTGTGACTCAGACTGACTGCAGTGAGTGTTGTCATTGGTAAAGTCTAGGAAATACAACAAAGTTCTGACGACCGACCCACACCTGAACAACAACTCTCTACATTTGAGACAAGAAACAACAAACAACACAGTGGACAGAGAGACTGTTGACTCGTCTGACGTCTGTGAAGTTATAACACGCTCACTGGAGCTGCAGGTCCAACAGAACCATGTCAATCCAACACCACTTGTTCTCACTGCTGCTACTGGACCAAACACTGCTGGTACTGGACCAAACGGTGCTGCTACTGGATCACTGCTGGTGTACAGTAATTCATTAGAAAAACCTTGACATGAATTTGGAGACCACTTCTTTGTCAGCCCCCCTGACTGAAACACAGGGAGGCGCTATACTCCAGTAGATGAATCCTTGTCTCACTCCAGAACACACCTTTTTCCTTTACTATTTTAATTTCTTTTAATTGTATTTAAATGTCAACTCTCCACCATCACAGCTGCATCAGAGCAGGAACCAGAACCAGACCCAGAACCAGAACCTACGTAGTCTCACAGGAAGGTGTAATGTGTTGGGGGGGTAGGGGGGAAAACAAAGGGAAAAAAAGAAGAAAAAGAAGCAACTATAAAGGTTGTGTGAAGGTCAAGGAGGAGAAGAGATGTTCCAGTGTCTTCCGTGTGTTTAGGCTGAAGGGGCAGATCGATGGATGGATGGACGGATGGACGGATGGATAGATCGATGGATGAGTTTTTGGATGGACGGATGGATGGACGGATGACACCATGAGTCGTTTGAATTTCTGATTCACATTCTGGTTGTTTCTCCGCAGCAAAAGTTTAAATGACGTGCCTTTCAGAGATGACAAAAAATGTTTGTGTTGCCACTTCATTTAACTGAAAAATAGCTTTCAGACACGGCTGCCGCTACATCTGAGGTTGGTTCTGACTGGGTAGACCCGATAAATTAATCAGGCTTTCATCCAACAAACGTCTGAGACAAATGAAACTTTGAAAGGATAAAAGGGGCAAATGTTCCAAACAACAACATCTAAAAGAGGCAAAAACATTCCTGTAAAGGATTTAGCAACACCTAGTGGCAAAGTGTTTCAGGGTGTGAAATATGCCAGCGCTATGGTCGAACTGCTATCTTCCATGGGAAGGTTTAGGGTTCGATACCACCTGGTCCACTAACATCTAAAGGCACATGTTGAAAGGGTTTTTATTAGTTCTTCAAATTCTACTTCAGCCCAAAATATTTGGTCGGCCTCAACACGAAAACATGGACCCTATACAAAAGCAGACTGAATTCTGGGTAATACGACTGTAAACTATTCTTTTGTAGTGTGTAGTTATCAATAAAGTGTCACGTGTGGCCGTTTGTTACAGCTGCGCCTGATGATGATGAACTGAATTCATCATCATTAGAAGAAGAATACAAACAAACAAACAAACAAACAAACAACTCTTCTGTCAATGCAGAAAAACACAATAAACAAACGTTACACAGCCATGTTAGGACATGTACATTTCCAGGACATTTCCAGGACATTTCCAGGACATTTCCAGGGAAGTTATGCTGCTGTACCACAGTAAAAGTCAAGAATGTTTCCGCCGATAGGCGATAAAATAACCGTAAATCGTTGGAGATTGAAGACCGACTGTGCCTCCAGACTGGTTTTTATTATTTTTACAACAGAACCGACTCCAGTAAGGCCCTGATCTGTGTAAGTGATAAAAAGTGAGAACGCGTGAAAGAGAAGAATCCATTTGTGGTGCACTCACACAAACACAAAGACACACAGGTTAATCTGATCTGGCCTGGTATTGGACCAGGATTCTCAGCTCGTTTCAACACAGCCTTGAAGGGAAACGCAGCAACCGTGGACAAATGCTGGAAGAAAAAGGTAAAAGAGAAAATGTGAGCGTTTGTTCTCATTTTCTAACTCGTCCACATTTATCTTTAGATTACACTCAGTCAACGCTTCTCACTTATGGACTAAAGTCTCCAGTGCAGTTAGTTGTACCCAGCTAATGCTAAAGTAATGCTAAACTAATGCTAAACTAATGCTAAACTAATGCTGAACTAATGCTAAACTAATGCTTAGCTGATGCTAAACTGTACAAAACTAATGAGATTCAATGCTTTCATGTTTAATTGTTTTGAAATATGAGAAATGATTTCAGCAGATAATCACTGTGTGGAACAGGGTTGATGTTGGATGATGTTGGATGTTGTTGGATGATGTTGGATGATGTTGGATGAAGAGTCAACAGACAGAGGACGACTGTAGTCATTTACTGCTGGTCCTTGGATATTATAATCCTAGGACATGTGCTGGTACTGATGCCTGGTACTGATGCCTGGTACTGATGCCTGGTACTGATGCCTGGTACTGAGGACCAGCTGGACTGGAATAATAAAGAGGTGTGTGGTTTACGAGCACAGTGAGTTCATATTTATTCATTATATATATATATATATATATATGAGTTTATATATGAGTCAGAGAGGAGAGGAGGAGCTGACGCACACACAAACACACACACACACACACACACACTACATTGACCTTCAGAAGCTCATAGTGTTGTGTCATGGTTGACAGATGACCTTTACCCTGGGACGTTTTCTGAGAAACCCTGCAATTTAAGAAAGAGCCAAACAAAACACACACACACACACACACACACACACACACACACACACACACACATATATGTGTGTGAGAGAGAGAGAGAGTGGACATGCCTGTGATGTCCACTCTCTCTCTCTCTCACACACATGGATTTGCTAATCACCCATTAGTTTTCACCCTTTAGCCAACATACTAAACATTTCCCTGCCCTCTGACCTCAGGGTCAAAGTATAATACGCCAGAAAAAAGAACGATCGTACGCGGTGTTGGTGTGTCACGGCCCACTGCGGGTGTGTGTGTGTGAGAGAGAGTGTACTGTGAAGGACCAATCAATAGAGAGACATTTATAGATGACTCTTTTGACGATCAATTTGCTAACAATGCATCAAACACAAAAGACGTTCACATCAAAGGACAAAAGCATTAATTATCGTCGGTGGGTTTGTGTCTGAAAATGCATGTTTGCAATATTTGAGTCGCACACACACACACACACACACACACACCCAGGCAGGCACGCTGACAGCCTTCTGTTGTCGCCTCAGGACAGATTTTTGCAGACAAAGAAGTGATTTTACAGAACGAGCTCAGCAGCAGCCCCGGAGGCCGATGGAGGCATTTCACAACCTCACATCTGCTGCCACAGAGTTTCAACTGACAGGAATGTGGGATTACTCCAACTTCAAACTTCACTCCCAATAAAATCTGTGGCTGGTATCGATCAGAGGTGG